AGGTAAAAATCAGTTATAAAAAAAGACTGGGAAAGTAAAATAAGATTATCAAATTTGTAGGGAAAAGAATTATTCTTAGGTACTTTATTCCTTTAGGTATGATTGTCAGTGGAATTGTTTTACCTTTCTTTTCAGAATGCTCATGGCTAATGTCCAACCTCCAGCCCTAACTGTTGCCTTGCTCTACCCTCTGTGGGCCTTCCAGCAATGTCCTACATGACTTGCTGTCCACCTTGCATGTGTTTTCTGGGTGTTTAGTTATCACATGTTTGGTTATCCAAGACTCAGCGTCAATCGTTCTTCACTGGCTCAGTCCAACACTGACTGGACACTGGGGGTGTTTAGAGCAGAATTTAAATGCTGCTGTGAGTCTTGCTCCCTCTTTCCCAACTAAACCGTGTTCCTTGCCTGATCACCAAAACCAAACCATTACTATCGACTTGATTCCAACTCACAGTTACACTACGGGATAGTGTAGAACTGCCCCATAGGGTTTCCCAGGCTGTAATCTTTACAGAAGCAGATTGCCTTATCTTTCTCCTGTAAAGAAAGTTGGTGGTTCGATCCTACCAGCTGCTGGTGGGTTTGAACCACTGACCTTTTAGTTAGCATCCCAGTGCTTAACCACTGTACCACCAGGGCTTCTACTGGCCTGATAGAGGGACAGAAAGCACTGTATTTGTGGCTTCCTTTAGGCCTGATCAGATGAGAGTTCATGTAACATACAAAACATCATTCACATACTTCAAACATGGTGTAACCTGTTTCCACAACTCCAAGATGCTATGAACCATAAGATGCTTAATTGACTTAATAGCAGCTCTTGGCCAAAATGGGAAATGATCCACATGAAGTCTGATTCTAGTGGTTTTCCTGACTCAACTTTGTAGTTACACTCAGCATCCTGATGGCACTTTGATTTTCCAGCCTTGCGCCTTGAGAATTGATTATGCCACTTGAGAATTGATTATGTAGATGGGGACGAGCCCCTGCACAGCACTAACCCTGAGGTTTCTCTTCCCTCAAATGAATTTCAAGTGCCTGAGAGTGAAGCCCCTCATTATCACAAACCTTTGTTCATCAAGAATTACAGAGGGTCCCTTTTGGTCACCAGCCTTTTGCAGCTGCTGCAGCCAGCTCTGCCCAACACCTGTGGAGGCTTTGGTTCATACTGTCACAAGAAGCCCTGCCCTGCTGTTTTTAGTTGCCTTTGAGTCAATTCCCAGCTCACCCGTGTGTGCTGAGTAGAACTGCTCTGTATGAATTTCAGTGCTATAATCTTGGGAAGTAGATTCCCCAGGCCTGTCTTCTGAGGCATGTTGGTGGGTTTGAGTTGCCAGCCTTTCAGCTAGTAGTTGAGCACTTAGCCATTTATGCCACCCAGGGTCTGTGGCCCTGCTGATACCCACCCCAATTCCAAAGCAGGCCAGTGGCCCCACTACACACAGAACAAACCTCCAGCCCCACACCTGTCCTCCCTACCTCTTCCTGTCGTCCATCCACTCCAGCCTCAGCAGTCTTCCGGCTTCATGAATGTCTGTGCTCTGTTGCAGTGCAGGGCTCTGGTACCTTCTCTTCCCTGTATCTGGAGTGCACCCCTTGTCCTGTCCAGGGGGTGCCATCACTTAGTTACCACAGATTTAGCAGCCTCAACCACACAGGTTGTTTATATCACTGCTCTGGAGACCAGAAATCCCTCCTGGGTCTCACAGGACTAAAATCAAGGTGTTGGCAGGGCTGCCTTCTGTATGGGACCTCCAGGAAGAATCCTTTTGCTCCCTTTTCCATTGTCTAGAACCCGCCCTCATCCTTGGTTTATGCCCGTCCTCCACCTTCCAAGCCAGCAGCATAGCACCTTGCTGACCCTACTTCCTTCATCATCATGTTGCTTTCTCCAGCTCCCACTGGGAAAGGCTCTCTACTTGTTTTTCTTACCAATTCAGCATTTTCCTCTTGTATAATTCAGTGACTGTGATTACATTCTTCAAGTTGTGCATCCATTTTCGCTTTCGTTTCCTGAATTATTGCACCACCATTAACAGAAACTAACTGCCCCCTAAGCAGGAATACCCCCTTCTCCCTACCCCATCCCTTCCACCTCACGTAACCACTATAATGGTTGGTGTCTATAGATGTGCTTAGTTTATGTCAGAGATTACACAGTTTTTGTCCTTTTGCAGCTGACTTCCTTCACTCAGCATGATGTTGTCAAGGTTCACACACATGGCATGCATCAGGACTTCATTTCTCTTTCTGGCTGAGGAAATGTGTGTATATACCACATGCTGTCTGTCTGTTCACCTGTGGGTGGACATTTCAGTTAGTTCCACCTTTGTGCTATTGTGAAAAATGCTGTAGTAAACATGAGGGTTCAGGTTTCTGTTTGCATTCCTGCTTGCACTTCTGGGCAGGTACCTAGGAGTGGGAGCGCTGGGTCATATGGTAGTTCAACTTTTTAAGGAACCACCAAACTTGTTTGTACAGTGGCTGCACCGTTTTACATTCCCACCGGCAACGGACAGGGCTCCAGTTTCTCCACAACCTAGCCAATGTCTGTTGTTTCCGTTTTTCTTTTTTTTTTTTCATCATTGCCTTTCTAATCAAGGGTAAGGTAGTGTCTCTTTGTGGCCTTGATTCATGCCTCCCTAATGGCTAATGATATTGAATATCTTTTCATGTGCTTGTTGGGCATTTCGGTATCCTCTTTAGTGAAATGTTTGTTCAAGTCCTTTGCTTATTTTTCTTTTTTCATTGAGTAGTTTGTCTTTTTGTTAAGTTGTGGAAGTAGGGTCTCCCCTTTTAAGGGCTGGTGAGATTTCATCGGGCCCACCTGGGTCATTTAGGATCCTCTCCCTATCTCAGGATCCTTAACTTCATCCCATCTGCAGAGTCCCTTTTGCCACCATATCCATAGGGACTAGGGCATAGGCATCTTGGGGGGCCAGTGTTCTGCCAACCACATACCTGAACCTATTGCATCTCACTGCCTTACTTCATGACGTATGTATTCAGGCGTTGCCATTAAAACACACCTTCTAGGTCCCCACAGCCCCTTGCCTGCCTCCTTCCCCTCTAACTGCTCCCTACTGTGGGATCACCACTTACTTGTTTGCCTGTGTAGTTCCTGTCCCCTCAGCCAGGCTGAGCTCCCAAGGCAAAGCCTCGTCTTATCTACCTCCATGTGCCCAGTGCCCAGAAAAGCCCATGTCGTCAGCATGTGCATTGCTAAAAATTGACACAAAGTCAGTTCCCAAAATGTGTAGATAACTCCTCCTCACGTTCACACTCCTCCATCGTCCTGACACCAGCTGCTCCCGTGGCACTTACTCTCTGACCCTGAGCACCCAGAGTTAGGTCTCCGCAAAGTAGGGCTCTGTCCTTCCAGCTTCTGCTGGCTCTCACTGCACCTGCTTCATTAATTCTGTAGTATGACTCACAAGTTCACAGACTCTTACCTGCACTTAGAGTTACCATTTATTATAAGCAGAAAAGGTACCTGTCCATGAGCCTTCCACTGTCCCCAAGGGCATGTCACACCCTCTCCCATACATAGATGTTCTCATCAAACTGGGATACCTCCTGTAACTTCCGTGTTGTGGGCTTTTATTGGCTCATTGCTAGTGATTTGTGCAGAGGGCTTCATGATGTAAGTCATTGAGTGATAGAATCCCTGAAAAACATGGCTGATTCCATCATGCCCCCGTCCCTTCCTCAGGTTTGCTGCTAGGGTAGGGATGTTTAAGTGTTAAGTGGCTATTTTTAGAAAACAGGGCACCTTGATTGCTGGCAAATTCTAAGGGTTATTTTTGTTGGTGGTGGTGTTATGTGCCATCGAGTCGGACCCGACTCATAGCGACCCTTCCTTGGGTTTCCGAGGCAGTATCACTACGGAAGTAGATTGCCCAACCTTCCTTCCATGGAGTGGCTGGTGGGTTTGAACTACCAGCCTTCTGGTTAGCAGTCAAGTGCTTTAGACACTACTCCACCAGAGCTTCTTAATTTTAGAAAGCAGAGACAAAAGGCAAAAATGAGTTTTTCTGTTCCACAACATCTGATCATTACTTGTTGAACAAGCTAAAGTTTTACCTAAGAGCTGAGAGATGAGAAGGAGTTAGAGAAAGGTTGGGGAGCCTTTCCATCAGGGTGAGGCAGGGGTGAGGGGAGGTGAGTTCCCACAGTCTGCAGGAGCTGGTCACACAGAGACGCTGAATGTCAGACTCTGGATTTGGAAACAATGGTGGGCACAGATGGGTCTTCAGTGAAGAATGAGCTGACAAGGTTAGAATTTTAGATCTGGCCTCACTCCCCAGCAGTGTGAAAGGTAGATTAAGTGGAGAGGTTGTGAGTCAGAGGGACACTGGGGCCATTTGAATGTGAGTAGCAGTGGGACCTTTAATCTAGGCCTCTGTACCCCTGGACAGAATCTTTCTGCTGCTCCTTGATGCCTTGCTGGATGGGTGAAATGGAGGAGGGAGTGCAGGTTAATGAAGGAAAGAGATACAGAAAGAAGAGAGTGGGATGGGTGAATAAAAGGTTAGAAAGGGTAGAAGGGTAAGTGGAAGGAAAGGGATAGATGGACAGTTGGAAGGAGATTAATGGAGATGTGTGGTGGGAGGTTGGAAGGGGATTAATGGATGTTGGTTTAAAGGGAACTAATGGCTGAATGGTTGATTGCAAGGGGACAGGTGAGTAGGTTGATGAATGGTAGAAGGGGATGAATGACAGGAAGAAAGGAAGGGACTGATAGATGGATGCTTGGTTGAAAGGGAGCCGGTGGATGGTTGAAGGTGATGGATGGACAGATGCATAGATGGAAAGTTGGAAGGGGATGGATAGATGGTTGGTTAGAAGAGGATGGGTGAATGTTCCTTTGGAAGGAGATGAATAGAGAAGTGGGTAGATGTGAGATTGGTTGGTTAGAAGGGGACAAGGGAATGGCTGACTGGTTGGTTAAGGGATGCTGCTCAGCCATAACTTCAGAAAACCTCTTATGACTTCAGGAAGGCAACAGCCCCCAGGGGAGCAACCAGGGAGTCAAGATCACGCCCGACCAGCAGAAGAGGAGCAGCTTCTTCCGATGTGTCCTTCTGTGAGGGACGCTGCCTTACCTGAGCCGCGCTCAGCCCAGCTGACTGTGCCTGTTCTGAGTGAGCCCTGCGCTCGGCCGGGGCCTCCACCCCTCCCACGCCCGCCCACGCTGAGGCCACGGGCCTGCAGCCCCCAGAACGAAATCGAGAAATTGTTTATTTTAGTAACTGCCTGGTGTCTCTCAACTCTGCAGAATGGAGTAAATTAAGAATTTGCTATTTTTCCTGTGATGTTCACGGAGCGGGCCTGTGCGCCGCGCCACTGGGAGAGGACAGTACCGCGGCATGATCTTTGTCAGCAGCAGCCCCTGGGGTGGGCCCCCACTTCAGCCCTCCATCCTCAGTCCTGCTGCAACATGGCTGGAGGCCCTCCAGCCAGCATGGGCCCCAGCGGGGACCAGATGCCTTACACCTCCGCCCTGAGCACAGCGACGGCGCTCCAGGCCTGGGACGCAGCCCAGCAACTCCAGCTCCCACTTGCCTCTGCTCTGGGTTCTGGATAAGGGACAAAACCCTCCCCACACACCCTCATCCCCATCCCCCCTTCTTTTTTACTGTCAAACCAAAGGGAAGCACAAATTAAGGAAAGCCTGTGCAAAGCATCTTGGAGGGAAGACACCTGGGTGGATCTCCTGCCCGTGACCCTGGAAGGTTCATAGGCACCACCACCATCCCTGCCCAGAGGATGCTCTCGGTGATCGCCACTGGCTCCAGTGACACCGAAGACACAGCAACACCCGCCCACATGGTCCCCATGACCGAGACAGCACCTGTCAACAGCAAAACGGCCCAGTCCCACTTTATCCTCTGCCATCTTCAAATAGGACGAGTTTTCTCACTGAAAGTTTTACTCCTTCAGATTTGCCGTGCCATGAAGTGATTCCATCTTCAGTCCCAGTGGCAGAGCCAGGGGACCAGAGATGCTTGTTCTTGGGCCGGGCAGGGCACAGCACGTGCCGCACCATCTGGGCGTAGACAACACATTCCATATGGCCAGGCAGCTGCAAAAGCCACCCAGTAGCTCTCAGTGGCCCTGGCTGGGTTCTGTGTCAGCAGCTCCCTAGAGACTGTGTGACTGGGTCCAGGTGGCCAGTCAGGCATCACCACGGCACCTTTCCTCTGTTTTGTCTCTTTTCTTTTCCCTTCTCCCAAGCTGCTGTCAGTCATAGTTCCTTTGTTCATGAATTAAAACCAATGAACCAGCAATAGTCTGCTCCCTGGAATCGCTAACATGCTCTGTTTACATCCATAAATGCACTTACGGAAAACAAACCAACAAATTAAAGCTCATTTTAAAGTTAATGGCTCTTTCTGCCCACTCTTTGTCTCTAGGCACATGGGTATAGTGGGCACTGGGCAGGGACCCACATCCATTGCTGGTGGGATTGTGAAATGATACCTCAGAAAGCTGACCGTAGATTATCATATGGTCCTACAATTCCACTGCTAGGTATATACCCAGCAGAACTGAAAGCAGGGTCACAGACACTTGTACAGCCATGTCTATAGCAGCATTATTCTCAGTAGCCAAAAAAGTGGAAATAACCTAAATGTCCCTCAATACATGAATGAACAAAATAATGGCTTATCCATATAATGAAATGTTCAGCCAAAAGATAAATCAATTCTGGTACATGCTGCAACACAAAAGAATCTGCAAAACATCTTGCTGAGTGAAATAATCACAAAAGAACAAAGGTTTTATGATCCCACATACATGAAATGAAGAGACAACTATGTAGAGACAGACCAAAGTTGATTAGTGGTGACCAGGGACAGGCAGAGGCAGAAAGGAAGACAACCTGTAGGGGACGCTGAGCTGTTAAGGGTAATGTTTGAGCAATGTGATAAAGATGCCTGATGTCACTGAGCTGTGCGTGGGTAGATCATTGACAGACATTACCTATGTATGTCTTTACCACAGTGAAAGAAAAATTTGAACAACAAAATAAAACCACATAACCCAGGTGGGGGTGAGGGTCAAGACAGGTCAGGGGTTACCCCAAGTCTAAGATGACCTGCTCCTCCCATCCACAGCCCATCCCTTTGCAGAAATTCAGAGCCCACTTCCGCACCTCTGTTTAAGCCACCTGCTCAACTCCCCATCATGCCACAAAGATGCGCTTATCCAGGTCCCCATGGCTCCACCCACCAAGTGAGTACACTCTGAGTCATCCTCCCTCCCAGGAGCAGAGCCACGAGGCAGCACTCCTACCCCTAAGAGCTTCATTTCTGGTTCCTGTCGCCAAACCATGCCCAGTGACTACTCTGGGCGCTGGCTCCCCAGAAGGCTCTTATACTCTCAGGGTCCCCAAGACCACCCATAGTTCAATGATTGGCTGGAAGGACTCAGGATATAGCAAAAGGACAGAAAATTGAAGATCCCTGGGTGGCTGCACCATGAACGAAAGGTCTGACAATCTGCTTCCGTAAAGATCAGTTAAGAAAACTCTATGGAACAGTTCTACTCTAACATAGGGTCCCCTAAGTCACAAATCAACAAAAAACAACAAAAGGGCAAAAGGTGAGCAAAGGGAGAAGGTGCAGGAGGCAGAGCCTGTGGAAACCAGGCTCGAGCACCCAAAGCCCTCTCCCACTAGAGTCATGGAAACCAAACCACTTGCCACTGAGTCATCTTCAGAGCATGGCAACCCTGTGTGTGTCAGAGCAGAATGCTCTAAGGGTTTTCAATGGCTGGTTTTTCTGAATTAGGTCCCTAGACCTTCCAAGGCACCTCTGGGTGAACTCAAACCTCTAACCTTTCTGCTTGCACTTAATCATGCCACCCAGGGGCTTCTGGTGTCACACTGAGCATGCTTAATTCCCTTAGCAGTGAGTTGTGACAACACGTATGACATGTCCTCCAGGAAAGCTCATTAAAGACCCAGCACCCAGGGCATACACATATCTGCCTGGCACACCCCAGAATCCCATACTGCTGAAGAAACGTGGGTGGCCAGCATAAAGCACGTTGTGTGCACGTGTAGGCCCAGGGAGCCACTCTCATCAGGTGGTGGGAACCCTCCCAAAGTCTATGATCCCTGATGCTGCTGTCCTCTGGAGAGGACAGCCTCAGGTCTGCCCTGTGAGCTCTTCTGCACACACTTGGTTACAGTTATGTGTCACCTTGATTAGATTGTGATCCTCTGTGGCTTAGCAGACATTGGACTGATTGCTTTCCTATAATGTAATAAAATATAATCACCTCCGTATGGTTTAATGTGATCAGCCAGTTGGTTGTAAGAGGAGTTTCCACGGGAATGTGGTCTGCATCCAATATATATGGATGTTCTGGCGAAGCTCACTCACTTGCTTTTAATCCTCCATCCAACTAGTCATCATGTGACCTCTAGTTCCTCGGGTGCGAGCCAGCAGCTGATGCCTGACCTGCAGATTTGGGGATTTGCCTGCTCCCAAAGCCCTGTAAGTCAGCAGCCTGCCGTCTGACCTGCCAATTTTGGGTTCATCACCCTGTGCAACCACATGAGTCAGGAGAAGTCTCTAGCCTGATGCCTGACCCGTGAATTTGGAATTTGGGACTTGCTAGCCTCCACAGTTGTGTAGACCATTTCCTTTAGATAGATAGATGATAAAAAGATAGATAGCAAATACATATATCCACCACTTAGTGTCAGTTTGTCATACTATGGTGGCTTGCATGTCACTGTGAGGCTGGAGGCTATGCCACCAGTATTTCAAATACCAGCAGGGTCACCCATGGTGGACAGGTTTCAGCAGACCTACAAGACTAAGACACACTGGGAAAAAGAAAGAGGCCATCCATTTCTGAAAAACTTGGCCACCGAAAGCTTTGTGGATAGCAGTGGAACACAGTCTGATACATTACTGGACAACTTTATGCATAACAGTGAAACATTGTCTGATATAATGCCAGAAGATGAGGTCCTCAGGTAAGAAGGCACTCAAAATACGACTGGAGAAGAGCTGCTTCCTCAAAGTAGAGTCAACCTTAAAAACATGGATGGAGTAAAGCGTTCAGGACCTTCAATTTGCTGATGGGGCATGATTCAAAATGGGAAGAAACAACTGCAAACATCCATTAATAATCGGATTGTGGAATGTATGCAGTACAAATCTAGGAAAATTGGAAGTTGTCAAAAATGAAATGGAACACATAAAGATCAATATCCTAGGAATTGGTGAGCTGAAATAGACTGGTTTTGGCCTTTTTGAATCAGACAATTGTATGGTCTACTATAATGGGAATGACAAATTGAAGCAGAATGGCATCACATTCATCATCAAAAAGAACATTTCAAAATCTGTCCTGAAGCACAATGCTGTCAGTGATAGGATAAACCTATACACCTTACAAGGAAGACTAGTTAATACGACTATTATTCAAATGTATGCACCAACTGCCAAAGAAAAAGGTGAAGAAATTGAAGATTTTTACCAGCTTCTGCAGTCTGAAATTGACCAACATGCAATCAAGATGTATTGATTATTTCTGGTGATTAGAATGCAAAGTTGGACACAAAGAAGAATCATCGGCACTTGAAAAATATGGCCTTGGTGATAGAAATGATGCTGGAGATCGCATGATAGAATTTTGCAAGACCAGTGACTTACTCATTGCAAATATCTTTTTTCAACACATAAGTAGCAACTATACATGTGCGCTTTGCCAGATGGAATACACAGAAATCAAATTGACTACATCTGTGGAAAGAGGTGATAGATAAGTTCAATATCATCAGTCAAAACAAAGCCAGGAGCTGACTGTGAAACAGACCATCAACTGCTCATATGCAAGTTCAAGTTGAAGCAGAAGAAAATTAAAACAAGCCCACAAAACCCAAAATAGGACCTTGAATATATCTCACCTGAATTTAGAGATCATCTGAAGAATGGATTTGACACATTGAACACCAATGAGCGAAGACGAGTTGTGGGATGACATAAAGAGCATTATACATGAACAAAGCAAAAGGTCATTAAGAAGGCCGAGAGGGAAGAAAAGACCAAAATGGATGTCAGAAGAGACTCTGAAACTTGCTCTTGAACAGA